TCTGCGGAGAGGAGCGACTCCTAAGAAGGAGGGGATCCCTGTGGTGACGTAATGTATCTTATTTTATCTTTACGTGAAGGCCTAGGCACTAACAAGAAGACAAAATGGAGGATGTTTGATGTGTAACCTTTCTCTCTCATTTTGGGTATAAACAAGTACTATGCAGTCTTGTATAGCGTCAATATACCAGATACAATTGCATGAAAGCTGTTCTTGACGCCTGTAATGTTGATAGACTGTGAGCTACCATGAATCAAGAGTCAATGTATCTCGAACTACCCACTGGATGGGAGATGAAGATCGACCCAAGAACTGGCCGACCGTTTTTCATCGATCACATCACAAGAACGACATCATGGAATGACCCAAGGGAGTTTAGAAATAATGCAGTAAGTGTTATAGATTCGATTGAAGTGAATTTCACTTGACATCATTGAAAATATTGTTAAAATGGCGTTATGTTGTTTTGACACTTTAATTAGCTTTACTCATCCAAGCGTTGAAGGTCCTCGGAACCATTCGATTTCATCGATTCTCCCATTATACAAGTGTGAAATTCGTTTTTAAAGTTTACTCTTTAATGCATYGAAATTATTGAAGTTTGTGTTTTAATGACCTACGATTTCACTAAACATGTTTACTCTTTGCTATATATCGCTTTGAATAAAATGTTTGAAATATTTGTTTACATGTACAAGTAATATTTCTCGACCACGGAATGTCTTTTCTATTAATATATTTGTATTTTAAAGTACAAGTTAATGTAATTTTGATAAAGTTTTACTTAGATTATAAATATTTGACATATTGTAAAATTTTGTAAACTAATTTTTGTTTTACTCTTGGTTCAATGAAATTTTTATTGGTTATTTGATCACTAGGGATATGAAACCTTTAAGCAAAATAAACCACCTGACACTTCGCCCAAGCAGTCTATCAATAATAACGATTTAAAAACTCAGCAACCCTCAAAGTCACAGTTAATCCATAACCAAGAAGGCCAGTCTGCTGCCCAGTCTTCAGCTCAGTCATCTAATCAAATAAAACACTTCTTTGACACTCCAAACTCAAACTTTCAAGCTTGGCTAAGGGTTAACCATCCTAGTTCTGTAAGCATTTTGTTTGTGTTCTATAAAACACTKAAAGCTATTTCAAAAGTGTATCAGATTTCAGAATGTATGGTTAAAAGTTACTGGGGGACTGTGGGTATTGATTATTAATAAACAATTTTAAGTCCACCAAGTTTTCATAATCGAATATTGTTGCCAAGTTTGTGTTTTTGCCAAACATTCAATTCTTTCCAACCACTATTTTTGAAATAGCTGTATGTGTTATAGTTGTTTGTATTAAATGGTCACATGGTATATATTCTGCATGTTCAATAATACAATAATGTTTTAAGAGCTTTTAAACAAATGACTATCTCAGTCAATATATTTAAGCAAGGTTCATCGTGTGACTATAGGTCTGTTGTGGCTCCAGTGAATCTACATAATATTTTTTTAAGATGAAATATTTTCTTCTATTTATAGAAGATACCAGTGCCATCATCAATGTATCCAAACATGCAGGGATTACAACAAGGACAAGCTGGCTATGCTCCTGAACAACCCCATGGGTACCCCCCTCAGAATATAAGCATGCATCCATCTCAGACTCCTTCAACGCCATTACCAGGAATTCAACCACCACATTCAGGAAATTCCATTACAACTGAATATGATAGCAATGCAAAAATGCAAGATTCGCAGTACTCTCCATATGGGCAAAGTTCATTGGGACAGCAACCGGTGCYGAGTTCAGTAACCAGCATGCAATATGGATCTCCTGGTGGKCAATATCARCAGTATTCCCATGATACTGGAAAATCAATTCAGACCAGCCAATCTCCACAGTATCCTACTGGGCCAAATATGCGACTATCTCAACCAAATCCAAGTCAAATAGTAGGACCACATCAAACACCATATTCAAATGGCCAGCAGATAAACATGCCTCAACCTGGACAACCAGGTAGCATGGCTGCACAACCAAGACACCCGATGCCTACTAATAGTATGCAATCATTGTCTGGATATCCTAAGTCACCAGGTGGCATTGACCAGATACCTGGTCAGCCAGTTATGAATAGCAGTCCTTTCCCACCACMCAATCAAACAAAYAGTATGACAACKGCTGGACAGCCAGTAGCAACTAATGGTATGCCACAGGCTCAATCAACCATGGGACAGCCAATGAGGTCATCTCCACARCCATTCCAACCAATGGGACCATCATTTGAACAGCCTATGGCATCTAATAGTGTACTTCAAAACTCAAATCARCCTCCACAGCCTGYGACGCCTAATAATRTACCTCAGTCATCAGCTTTACCRACTGYRGGAATGGAAGCTGCATAYAGGCAGCCTGTGGCWRCCAATASCRTGCCATATAATCAACCTATGGTGWCTTCYGSTACTATGTCGCAAGCAGGACAGCAGTCAACTTTACAGTCATCTACAGGACATCCTATGGCTACAAATACTTTGCCGCAGTTCATGTCACATCCTATGACATCTATCGGGCAGCCTATGTCAACAAATTCTTTGCCATCATCGACTTCACAGCCTGTKATRSAGCCCAACAACACAACTCAGTCATCAGGTTGGCMAACAAGTCAAACACAASCTACTTCACCAASTAATGTGAACTATCAACCTTATTCACAAGTACAAGATACTGTTACAAATAGTAGCCCAGTTYTACGTCAAACTTCTATGACGAGTAACTACCAACAGCCTAACCCAGCTAACAATATTCCGTATTCAGGAGCTCAGCCAATGTCTACTATAAGTAGWTCAGTGYCACCAGCTCAATCTACTATGACAAGCAGCTACCAGCAACCTATTGCAACTGGCAATATGCCATATTCAGGAGTACAGCCTATGGCTACTAATACTAGTTCAGTGCCACCAGCTCRGCCTACTATGGCAAGCAGCTACCAGCAACCTATTGCAACTGGCAATATACCATATTCAGGAGTACAGCACAYGCCTAGTCCAGTGCCACCAAWGTCTACTAGTAGCATGCAGCAGCCRTCTGAACAACCTACCACACCTTATCAACAAGCTGTAAACAGTGGCATTCAACAACAGGCATCACAGCCTATGGCATCAAATATGCCGAAGCAATATGGACAACCAGGGACAATGCCATATAATCCACCCCCACAACAAATACCAACTAGCAACCTTTATCCTCAACAGCCTACCCAACCAAATTCCTATCAGCTGGCCAATCAAGGAAATAGTTATCAAGCTGGGCAATCAATGACAACTTTGAACTATGCACAACAACCCAATGCGTCAAATCCTCAATCAGTACAACCTCWGAGGAACTCAGACTATTCTCAACAATGGCGTCCACCTAATCCTCAACCTGGRCCCCCAATGACAGGTATAAACTATGTTCAACAACCCAGTGGGCWTTCACAACAGCAACAAGGAAGTATGAGTCAACCACAATTTCCAGGTCAKCCTGGYAATAGYCCTCAAGTGTATGGACAACAGGGCATCTATCCACCAGGTACAACKTACCAACAACAACCATCCACACAGGGTTAYAACCAAGCTCCACAAGCAAATAACCGACCAGGAATGTACCCTGCATTACCAGAAACACCTGGAATGAACCCAGCATCCTATAGTGGTCCAGGAACTAATGTCATACAAGGACAACCTGGGGTAACTTACCCTCAGTACCCTTACTCTCAAAACCAAACCCAAYCARGCTACMCAACAATGGCTTCAGTGGGGAACAATACCCAGGCATATAGCACTAGTGCAGCCCCTCCTAGTCAAGCACCAGGCACAGGGTACCCAGTATCATCAGGATACTCCACACCAAATTCCTATTCTAAACACAATGAAAAGGTSAAGAAAACGAGAATTGAGATGATTGATCGTGTACTATGTCGTGCAACTCAGTTGGAACCAAAGGTTTTTGGGTTCAATGGGAGAAGAGGTAAGAGACTTTTATTATATTTTACCACCAAATCTGCAACTTTAATAACTGTTTAAAATATCATTGAAAGTCAAAACACAATCCCCTTATAAACTAAAAAAAAACTGGTGGCAATCCAAATCCATTTGCCAGTCATTGAACACACCAACAACTGTGTATATCCTAACATTATTTTCAGGAATAATATCTAATGTRTGATAATATCTATTCTGTAAGGTGATAAGGAGTTCCTGGGTTTGGAGGAAGAACTAACAAGATGCATATTAGAGCTTGATAAAGTACAGACTGATGGTATTGAAGACATTAGAATTGCTAGGAAGTCTGCAATTCAAAGAGTGCAATACTTGATCGATTATTTAGAAGGAAAAGACTGATGTAATGGAAAAGGTGAAACACTTGCAAAAAAATAGCATGCTTTTATTTCGTAATTGTTTTTAGATTGCAAAAGACTTTGCTGGCAAAATTGTATGTTAAAGTTTTGCATAGAAATCTGTTAAATAATCCAAATATCAGCTCATTCAATGAACTTGTAATTCAATGTAATATACTCAATCCACCACAATTGCTATTAACATAGTAAATGACTGATGCATAAGCAGCTGTACGCTGAAATGCAGCCAGTCACAAGGTTGATCCTTGGGTTTTGGGCCGGATATTATACACTACACTGTATGTATGGTATTAYGTTATCCACCATTTTTGCAATATTATTAAATGATCGATTATATTTTTACAATGTCCATCAACTGTCTTTTTATTGTTAGTTGTATATAAGCTTTTAGAAACTGTATTGTCCTGAATATTATAGTGCAATTACAGTGAGCCACATTTCATATAATACAACTTTTTTTTACTGCAAGCTCTTTGCTTTGAGTTGTTCTGTATTCTTACTCTTGCAAGATTCCAGACAAATTCCAGGCTAATGGAATTAGGATTCATGAATTTACATAAAAAAAAATATTGCAAAGGCATTTCCCAGGATGTTCTTGCTTGTGAATGATTTTAATTGCATATACCAACAACATGCATAATTTATCAGCAAAATACAGCAACCATTAGTTTTATTCTATCTATGATATAAGATAAAGGAGTATGTGATTTTGCTATTTACAGTTCTCGCTTAATATTTTGCTGTTAAGGGTGATGAAATGGATACAGCCCATTCTTTTGTATTATATATTTCTATTTACACATGTCTAGAGTAGATAATGAAAAGATTCATAAGTCCATTATTATGGCTTGATCTTTCATCATATCCACTGACTTTCATTTAGCTCTAGCCTGCTAGTGCTTAACACTTTCAGTTCCCATTTTTCATTTYCCATTTCTCATTTTTTCCATTCTCATTCCTCCTGCTGTGACATTGAATGGTTTTGCAGATGATGATGTTGTAGTGGTGGTAATGGYTGTTGATGATGCATGCTCATCATAGCWGGATGTATACCAGTGTCCCCACCATGGGTAGGTTGGGGTGCATTTTGCTGTGGAGGTAATTGCCTAGGGGGTGGGTGTGTGGCTTGTTGTAATCTTTTCGTTAAGTCATCTATTCTAATGTCTTTGAGATGAAGAAGATGTTCTAGTCGTCTTATTTTGACTTGTAAAATCTGAAATTAATCATGATTATTGCCATCAGATATACATAATAACCAGATATACTAACAAATAAATTGTGTTAAATGGTCCCAGTTTAAAGCATAGAAGCTACCAAGAATAAAAAATCCACCATACACATGAAAAAAAAAAATTGAACATACTTGCTAATTATGTTATTAAATCTCATAATATTTAATATCTATTGAAATTACTTGTATAGTTTCTTGTGATGCTAGTAAAGACTGTTCTTTTTCTTCAAGTTGAAGCCGTAAGTTTTGTTGGTCACCGTTTGATACATCTTGATAAGACTGTGCTCTTGGAACTTTACCACTGTAAGAAAAACAAACAAAGAATATATCAGAAAGTATTCACAAACAATCCCACACACTGCCAAAACAACAAAATTGATGAAATCTTGAAAAAAAAGATTTTTAAGTATCTTGAAGAATAAGTAAATGGCAGTCTGAGAAATCAGGCAAGACTTGGATTCAGCAGTAGTTTTTTTTGGCTTGAAAATAAACAAACAAGGAGACACTTTTATTGAGATGTGTACTTTGTGTTTGATAGAAATTAATTCATACTATTCGGAGTGAAAAACATAA